TAAGAACGGTGTATTTACAATGTTCACATAAAAGACTTTAAAACAACACGATAAAACCAGGTAAACTCAGTCTGTTAAAAGAATACAGTTCGTTTGTCCATACCCTAAAACCGTCCAAGAATCCCAGTTTGTTGATAAGTCCAATGTGATTGTCCACCAGTGTATATACAATCCAAAATGAGTGATAATCCAAAAGCTTGCAAGTGAATCTGGAAAGGTAAATCCACAGAAAGGAAACTCCCAATCCAGGTATGTTTGGTAGCTGTTAGTGGCCCCGTGTTTGTTGGCCATGCTGCTCTCTTTATACAGTTCCTGCTTCCTGTCAGGTGACTGGTCAACCATACAATTCTTAAAGACACACACACACACACACACACTACTTCTTCTTCTTCTTTTATGGCGAATAACTCCTTAGGAGCATTATCACCACCTACTGTACTGGATGTTAAGTAAACTTTCATAGGTGATGAGTCTGAAATTTGAGTTTAAAAAACAAACAAACAAAAAAAAACCATTGGTGGATGTTTCCTATTCTCTCTAATCTATGGCACACTCAGTACACACACACTAAAATTGTTAAGAGGAATAAAATGGACTTAAGAAAACATGTAAACCAGTTAAAACTCTATTATACATCAAATTATTGCAATAAATAGAGCGGTAAACATGTCTCTTATGTGACAGTGTCACATCCCTACTATAAAGACAACTTTGAAGGACCTTAATGTTTATTGTTATGTCTTATTAACATATGCATCATTTTCTGTTATGTACTTAAAAAAATAAATCAAAATTAAAACCCACAAGAATGAAATGTTCTGCACATCAATACTCTGATGTCAGGTGAAAATACTATTTCAACAAAATAGTTTAAATAGTCTACATTAAATGGCTACATGAACACCTCACTCCTTCCTAAATTATTTATTTACCAATTAATTGTGAGAACTTCAAATCAAATCAAAGTTTCATGCCTGAACTCCTTAATTAGGAGCCGGAAGCCACATCTGTCTGTATTTTGTCATCTGTCATATTTGCATGTGCTGTCTTGACCAATCAGACACCTCCTTCATTATCTCGGCCTCTCACTCTCACAGTGGTGACGAGCGTGGCTTTCTCACACGAGGAGGAACTGTGTCCCGCCCAATCAACATTAATTGTCAGCAATCAGATGAGGGAAAACTATTATAACTAATGCTCATAGAGAGACCTGAGAAATCTGCACAGATGGCTGTTTGCACTCTCTCTACCTCTCTTTGATGAATCCTGAGAGAGTTTTCTACAGTAGATTAATGCTGTCAGTCCACAAACCAAGACAGCTTGTGCTCCTCCCCTGTTCCTTCAAGACAGGAAAGTATCATAATCAATGTGTTGGTAGACTTAAAGCTATATATTTTTAGGGGTTAGTTCCCCCAAAAGTAAAAAATCGGTCATCATTTACTTTCACTTTCAAGTTGTTTCTGCTGGAGACAAAAGAAGAAAATGTGAAGAATGTTGGTAACCAAACAGTTGTTCCCATTGACTTCCTTAGTATTTTTTTTTTCATTCTATGGAAGTCAGTGGGGACCAGGAAATGTTTGATAACCCACATTCTTTAAAATATCTTCTTTTATGTTCATAAGAAAGAAATCCAGGTTTTAAATATACTATAATATACAGTGAGTTTTACAATAACTATATGGCAACAAAAGATGCTAGACCTTTTCTCAGAACTCACTTTTCTGCTTATTCAATAATTTGTAATCACTTGATTTGGGGGTAATTTTTTGTGGATGTATGAAATCAGTTCCTTTTATTTCACACACAGGTGTTCTAGAAGATAGTCATCATATTAGCATATGAACATTATCCACAAAGTTTAAAACCAGAAAGTGTCCAAGAGTGTACTCATTCTGTACTCATTGTACTAATACAGAACATATATATAAACCATAAACAGAATATATATAAAACCATAAAATTGAATGAGGCTCTAAAAGTCTGCACTCAAAAGTCTGGCCCTGTGTCAGCTCTTGTATGCAGCGGAGACATGAATCGAGGCGGCACTCTTTCTATAGATTCTCTTGCTCTCTTTCTCTCTCTCTCTCTATGTCTCACCACAGGGGAAAGAGCAGCTGTCAACCCTCAGCACAAGAGGGACCCTCCGGGGCACCTGGGGACCACCGCCAAGGCCATCAGGGCCTGCTGGATCCGGTCTGTCAGTGAGTTGCCACCCTCAGGGAGCCCTGAAACAGTGGTTCCCTCCTCCCTCTTTCCATGCCTTTTTTTTGGGTCTCTTTCTTCCCTCTGTGACAGATGAGCCAGGACAGTGTGAAGATGTGCAGCTGTCTATACAGCGAATGTGCATTACTGTAAGAGCTGTCTGTCACATGCAGGTTCTGATCTTCTGTCAGCCCAAAGAGCCCAGTTCATGTTTACTGACACAGGACATATGTCTGGATGAATATGGGTACGTGTTCATATGTTCGTGACTATAATGGTACATGCAATTCAGAATGTGTCACTATTTTTAAATTCATGAATTGGCCACACACAATATGTCTTCTTACTTCTGAGCACAAAAAGAGATATTCTGAAGAATGCTCATTTAAATGCAATAATAACTGAAGCTTACAAGGTTTAAAAGGGACACACTGAGAAAAATCTCAAATTTTATTTATGGTTTAGTTCAAACCTTCAATTTTGATTTAATATGAATCAAAAATATTTATTTTTCCAATGACAAAAACAATCATACAAAGTAAAAACGATTGTTTATTCTAAAGACCATAGTTAATCAATATATTTTCTTTAGTTATAAGCCAAAATGTTACTCGATGTTTCACTATAAACAAAAGCTAAATTAGCTATGCATAGAATTTTCACTTAAGATAAAATTAATTAATTAGTCAATGTTTAGTTTACTTAGTATAAATAACTTTGAAACAACTTTGAAAAAAAAAACGTAATGTTTATTCATTTTTTTTTTTTTGTTCTGTACTACAAGTTTACTTTTTTACTTTTTTTGTTACTACTTTTTTTCAGTGCACAAAGGCATTAGACTGGAGTAATAGCATCAAAGGAATAAATTTTTAAATATTAAAATATAAAAATAATAAAAATCTTAAATCCTAAATTATATGAAAACAGAAAACAGTTTATGTAAATAGCAACAATATTTCACAATATTACTGTTTGTACTGTATCTTTGATCAAGTAAATGCAGACGTGATGAGCGTAAGAGACTTCTTTTAAAAACATGAATACATCTTATTGACCCCAAATTTATAAACACACACACACACACACACACACACACACACACACACA